CGGGGTATATCCCTCGATGCTGCCGAAGATCGTTGGGAATATTGTGGTTTTGCTCTATTGGGTCGATTTAAGTATCGACCGAGTGTCTTGTTGTCATTTTTTTGCACAAGCCTAAGAGCTAAAAATGATGGCTACTTCGAAATGTATAGCTTACCATGCCCGATGCCCGAGAATAGTGATTTCGGTAGATGGAGCTGTAGGCCAAGTGCGTGAGATAAAATAAAGGAAGGATCTGGAAGGGAAGAAACCTGGCTTCTGGGGCACCACTGTTCTTGGACTAGAGTGACACTACCTATCCTTCCTTGCTACCGCCGGGTGCTCGACCGCAGAGCCTCTGAGCCACATTCCCAATGATGGGACAGGAATATCCTTATGATGTAAATCAAATAGCTACAGAATATGCAGCCCCACCTGGCATACGATAGTAACTTATTGCGGTGAATCGAAGGCTGGGGGAAGTGGGGAGGGGAAGTTAATCTAAGAGCCAAAAAACCAGGTGTCTCATGAATACCTATTTTCCCGAATTCCCTGCGCCCTAGATCGCAAAATTCGAGCTAGAATAAGCACTGCGATCTCAGCCAAGTTAGCTACGCAACTGGAGAGGTATAGAGAGACCACAATAAAATCTGGGCAGACTACAGTGACAAGAGGAAGATTGTGGAAGCTATAGCTAGGTGAGATACCAAGTGACAAGCTGTGGAAATCTCGCAGAAGCAAAGCAGAGTGGCCCTGTAAGTTGATACGACGAGTTTTTCACAAATGCAGAATTTTACCATCTCAGCAAGATATAATCTTAATAGCAGAGTTCACCTAAGTTGTAACGTACAGAAGCCTCCAAATTTATATACAATTTCCCGCGCTCTTGCAAGTATGGCTGGCACCCGTGGCTTAATAATTGCATACGGGTTTGCCCATTTAGAAATTGTGTGAAAGGCATAAAGTGGAGAAAGAAAACACGCCCGCTTTAGCAATATTTCCAGTTTAAGAGCTTTTCTTGTATGCTATTCTGCGTTAGAATAACTGCAGCCACGCTCCGCAGGCGCAGAGGCAGTGGGCTTGTCCAGCGGGATAGGAAAACCGATGGCTTACCAGGGCCTAGGTTATCTTTTGTAAATGCTCTCTATGGTTGCCCCTAGTGGGGAGCCAGACCTCAGCCTTCCTGTTAGTGGTGACTAGTCTGTTGGCCATTATCTTGTGGGTGTACGATAGTGTGTGCCATTTTTCATTTTTGTTCTTCAGCATTTGAGGGTTGTAGGATACTGGCATAGAGCTTGCAAAATTGGAGTTTTCCTTTCACCCTCTGTAGGGTGTCTGTAGGGTGCACTGCTTTGGTTAAAGATATGTGAAAATATTAACCAGTTTGCAAATTATTGAGTATCACAGGTACTGTGGGGGGAAAAATATGTTTGTTTTCTTTTGTTTAAAACTTGGGTTTGGTTCTGTAATAGTAGTTAGGTTTCTGTTTGATTTGTTAGGGTTGATTGTGACTGGCCATAGTGATGTTCTGTGGACTGGAGAGGGAGAAAGGGGATTTCCCTCTCTTCCCTATCAGTTAAGTGAACGGGGGACGAAGAACATTGGACTATTGAGGAGCGAACCTATGGATGAAAGACGAAGACAACATACAATTACGAAGTTTGTACCTTTGTTTGGGAATTTACCTTTGTGTTTGTTCTTTTTTTTCTTTGCATCAATTTAATTTGTGCGGACCTCTTTCAGAAATCTTTTTTGTGCCTGAAGGCTGGATTTGCCTGTTCAATTGGTAAGTGAGTGAAGTCTACCTGTTTTGGGTACTTTGTTTTCTGACCCCGATCTATCCCTTTTCAGTAGTGAGGGTTTAGTTTTAGAAGAAGGAAAAAGGTATAATAATATTATTATTATCCCATACTGTTGTCTGTTGAAAAAGTGGCCCACTTTTAGCGTTCCGGAGAGCAGGGGTGTTCCTGCATTAGCGTGATGAAGACTGCTACAATACGGTAAATATTCCCTCTCAAACCTTACGCTCTTATGTTACGGTATCCAAAACCGCATTCTTTTTGGAGAGCGGGCCACTTTCAGTGCATACCTAGATTTACTCACCGCATTACCCAGATACGGTATATCAGCAGGGTTTAGGTCTCAGGTATCAATCGACAGGCCCATACAGTATAGATATGACACTAGTCAAACTGGTTTAGTGGGCTTCGTAATGGTCCCGTTTTGATTAGCGCCCTTCTTGGGGTGGCCCACTACAATCTATGGGATAGCGATAGTTTTTCTTTATTTCTTTCCCTCAACAGTAGTTAATAATGCATATGACTGTAAACCTAATGGCATTACTCTTGGGGCTATCGAAAAAAAAACGCAATGCAGCGAACTTGTATGATATGTGTTTAATATCATAATTTTCACGCCTGCCTATACCGAATATTCATAATTCCAAAAATATGATTATATTTCTTTTTATAATATAATATTCTTTTTGTAGCTTTCATGATAAAAAATAATGTTGGACATGCCGAACACGCCCTAAGCCAACTCCGAGGGCGGGATCACTCGTTATCCCGCCCCAAAATACTCGTAGTTGGGACCGAAAAAAATACTCCTTCCGGGCTCTACACCCCAGGGATGAGGGGATGTGTAAATATTCACACACTCTAGTGTATGTGTTAACAAATCAGGGACTAAAGCAATTAGTCTGTCACTTTCTTCAGCCTACTTGACATCGGTCCCGCCTTTCGCTCCGCTTTCCGGTCTGATCTGGGGATATCAACTTTGTAGTAGCCGCGGCAAAAACGCTCGATTGCGCACTTGAGGTTGTATGTAACATTCACACCTTGCAATTAAACTCAATAGGCGCGGTTCTCGGAGGTATCGCCCTTACAAAACTCTAACTTTTCATGAATGGTGGAGGTTACCTTTAACCTGTCTTTGATGTCCTCTCAAATATGGCCCGTGCTGGGGAACCGGGGTTGCCACCCAGAAGGACGTTCATACCGTTCGGTAACTTGAGGGAAGTAATACTATATTGCTACTGTGCGCTGCTCCTTCTAACAGAGGAACTTGGAAGACTAGACACTAATACTTCGCAGGCGGTCCTTTGTTTTTTTCCTAACCAATTGCTATAATTTAGCTATGAGAAATGAGTCACGTGAAACAAGATTCCTCCTAGCATATCATGAAGTACGATCTTCACTATAAAAGAAATATATGATACCTCCTGGGCACGACCAAGTTCTTGGATACCCATTCCCAAAATAATGTCGCTTCTCCAAATGTCGTATCACACGGGCCTTCTGTCATGACTTCCTAGCACACTCTAGAGTTCTTACCTCATTAGATCTAGGATTTTTGACACGTGAGATTTCGGAGCTTATTTGCTCCCAGAACAAGCAAGACATGCTCTAACCTTCTATAAAACAGAAGCTCATTGATGGATAGTATTCCGGAACATGTTTAGGAGGGTTCGGGTGCGCAATTGGTCCCCAGGCTCGTTGTCGGTCTTTTCCATTTTCTTCATTCAGTTCCAACTTTATCCAAAGAATTTTACTGCGCGGTGGAGGGCCTGTTGCGAGCTGGATTTCTACGTTCCTTGGTGGGTGGCCTTCCTCTGTCGCCAAGGTCGCGCTACACTAGCCGACCAGGAAACAACCTCACTCGGACTGCAGGAGCGGCAGATGGATATAACCATCACGTGGATGATAAGAAGAACGATGCGGTGTTTGCTCTGGAGTATTGTACTTCGCGTGACAGATGTATCTATTGGGAGGACTTGCACTCGAAACTCAAGGCTAGGCCTATGATAGGGATTAAATATGCCCCCGGAGGCTCTTGCCGTATGGACCGAATAGACCTAAGTGATAGAGATCTGATTCTTTTGGCCTCCCCGTGTGGGTTTGAAATAATGGCTCTCGCTAAAGCGAAGGCCGTAACTAGGCTTCCTCAAATCTGGGATTCCCAATCTACCGGTGACTTACTTCTAGCATTCCACGCAGCGGCAGCGAAGGGAGAAGTTGAACTGAATTGGAGGGCTGTGGCTCCTGGGGCCCTGGAGTTCCAGGGATTGCTCTGGACCTGTCAGGATCCCCGGCAGATATCAATTTATCCCCTGAAATTTGTTACCCCAATTGCAGTAACTAATCACTTGCTAACTCGCGCTGTGGCCCTGATTTTCATTTGCCAAGTTGGACCAAGGGTGTCTGCGCTAGCCTTTTTCTTTTCATATATTGTATTTTGTCACTGTGCCTCCTACATAGGCTTAATGTGGCGCTAAATCTTTCGCGAGGGGTGCGCAGGAGCTGGTACTTCTCGCAGTCATGGAAGTGGGGGTCGGAGGTCACTGTAGGAATGAGTTTTAATGAGTTGAGGTGGCCCAAGAAGCTATCCCGAAGGAGAAAAGCAGGAGGATCGCAGAGCAAAGCATACCTGGGAATGGGGTTGTATTTGTAGAGGCGCTCACAAAAGGGAATGAGCTAGAAGGGGTTGTAAGACAATTGATAAGCTGGGCTGACAAGCCTGTGACAGGAGAGTACCAAAAGAAGCCTTTATCATTTATCATAATCTTGCCATAGGCATTATTAGCGAATTCCAAATGGGGGGTTAACAGAAATCTGGTAGGAAGAGCGGCTCTTGGTCAAAGCTCACCGATGCTGCAAGCGACTATGCCAGGGATGTTCTGAGAAGTGGGGAGATATGGAAACAGAAATCGCCACATAAGACCCGCCCTCCCAGTCTGAACGAGAAATAACTCGACAACTCTTGAGAATATCTCCAGCCTTCCCGCTCCCCATCCTCAAATCCTTATAGAATAATTTGAAATTAGACAGAGAGCATCAGAGATCCCCAGGGTTGTCGTCATTTTAGTTGGAATTCACTCGTTTCACACGCAGATATTGAAACCGGACATGGCATACTATCAGGGTGGAAATGGTAAGCACGTCGCATAGGGGTGACCCGAGATGTGAGAGCATACTGAGGGTTTCCCCTACCCAGTACGGCATCGGCACGAGCGGAATCCGTGGACAGAGGAATCGGCCATTTGATAAACCTAATTCTATCTCTTCTAGATAAGTACTTCACAAGACTAATTTACAACAACATCCTGTTAGGCCATAATTGATAATACGGTTCCTGTGCTGCGCCCTAACAGTCATATCCAGTAGCTTTCCCCTTCTCGCTCAATGTCTCCTTGAATTGAGCGGCACCTGGTCCCTGAGCACACAATATGGAGGTAACGAAGCTCTCCGCATTGACTATCAATTATTAGTTGCTGCATTACTTGCTTACTGCTTGAAGATCGGAGAGGCCTACGTTCAGCACCAACTGCATTGGTATGTGTTTGGTCGGAAGGAAACATTTTGCTTGCCTCCGTATATCCCAACCCTTGGAATCGAGCAACAGAGTAGGCAGTGTGATCCAAGAATACGACGTTTTGGCTTTCGGATACCTAAATTCCGTCAATGGCCCGGTTGATAAGATTCGGGATGGAGGTAAACTAACTTTCCGTGAATCCTCAGTGAAGGGCCAGGTCTTTTGCAGAGTAGTCCCATTAGTCCATTCCATTCGTGGTACCATTCCCGAAAGCACCGGTACGGCTCCGACAGCCCGTGAGTCTTTAATCATCTGTCCTAGGTAGCTTCCGAAGGTCCGCACAACTTCATCCTCTCCTTTGGCATTCTTCACAGTTACCGTCTCCTCGCCGACTCCCGGGAGAACTGCTCGGTCCTTACCGACATCCCCGCCGGTCCCGGGTGTGCCATTGTCGTTGTGGCCCATCTCAATAATCACATAGTCACCCGGAGAAGCCAGGCCGAGTAATTCGGCCCATAGGCCTTCATTAATGAATGACCGGGTTGAACGACCCCCTCTAGCACGGTTTACGAAAGTGCTGGTAAAAAAGGGGCCGAGGTAGTGTCCGAAACCCTGGATATTGGTTTTTCGGGGGTTGTATGATGCTGCGGTACTATCTGAGCAAAGGAATACTTTAATATTCTCTGCCTTCGGCGTAGGATCTGCAGCGGAGAGGGTAGCAAGGGCGAGAAATGGGAAGAGCGGGAACCTCATGATTGACCGCCTTGAGGAATTGGCCTGTGAGGGGACGTACTGGTAATTGACGGGGAATCAATCATCTTTAAGTAATAATTTTTGCTTGTGGGCCATAATTTCTTCACTTAGCAACCCAAGGCGTACAGTGGACTGGTACTACACACCGCAACTTCAGGGGCAGCCGAGAGTTGCAAGGATCTCCAACCATCTAAAGTCTAGGGAAACGGATTTCCTCTCTACATGAGGCATTTTTTGAGTGCCACCGCCGTCCCGCGAGGCTGGGGTATGCTCAGGATTATCTAAACTATCTATTTCGGGTTATTGGTTGCCGAACAGACCGGGAAAGAGTCCGGAGTAACGGAGGCGTTACGTGTTGATATGTGGCTTGGGCGGAAAGAGGGGGCTGTAAATCCCGAAACTACTGTACCTTTTTAATAGGTCGCATGGCACTGGCCTATGCTATTGTTTATGGATAAGATGGGTAGGTCGTTCTTTGACGGCTGGGGGTATGCTGTGAATGATACATGGTGACTAATTATGTATTGTATAATAATATATCACACAATGGAAAAGTCAATGTAACGATCTAGAAGATCTAATCAGGTCTGTCGCGCTCCTTTCTTCCAGTTTCCCTACCCCTCCCGAATAATAAGATTTCACACATGATACTGTAAGTCATATGCGTATATCGGTCATATAACACAGTAAAGGGACACAGAGGAAGATTCTTTCCTTAGCTGCCACTTGGATGGATCGCGCAAGGGGGGAAATTCATCCCTGATTCTAAACTATATTGAGTTCAACTCCTATTCGCATAACTTTATCTTCAAGAGTGAAAGCAAGCTCCAGGACCACCAATATTTTCAAACTCCCTCCCAACCGCGGAACATATATGGAAGGCCCGGGCGGAAAGGGCCGGGAAGGGGAAGGATAAATAGAAGGGGTAGAAAACCGGCCCAGCAAATATCTCTCACTTTGTGGAAAATACAAAAGAAAGCTTTCCTAAGGTCTGGAGCTCGCACTAGTGTACTGTATTTAACAGAGAAAGTTTTCGGTCTAATTATCGTAGCTCGACAGAACTTACAAAATTCCACAGAAAACAAAACTAGCCTGACACTCCGGGGAATCACCGAGAAACCGAGGTATCATACTGAGGATACGCCTCCCTCTGTATTAGCCTCCGAATGGGAGATTTAAGTCAGTACCCACGAACCCGAGACCCGATCTAGGATCAGTAACTTCACTCTGAGCTATATACCCCCGTTTTTGATACCCAATAGGGAACTAGCAGGTATGATAACCAAGAAAGACTCGAGTCTATTATCAGTCAACAACACTATAGAAAAATTGGACCGGGACCCACCGGATAGCAAAATTTGAGTTGCACTTCTAACCTACCTATGCAACAACCTTAATTTCTAGCGGTCCCCTACGCCGGCAAACGAGGTGAGGTGTAGACTCAGCAGGGAGAATCAGCTGGTGCGAAAAATAACCTCTTTTTTGACGTGATATGGACACCTACTCTTCATGCACCTAGAACCGTGGGCGGTAGCCGGGAAATCTGGAGGGAACACACCACCCCAAGGACTGCGATCAAGTGACAACAGGCGGCCGGTTGATTGGGAGACTAACAATGAGTGGGTGCAGATAGACTAGATATGTGGTAGAAAACACCGGTCCTTAGATAATAAGAAAATCCCATAACTGGTAATAAATTGGTGTTCTCATCACCATAAGGGCGTGTTTTCAGATATTCTCCGCAACATCAGAGCTTTCCTTTATGCAGTCTTCCTTATGGGTAGGAGATGGAACCTGCTTTCCGGAGGGGTACATGCCCAGGAATCTCCCCCGAGCTATGCCGTGTGGTCTTAGATATCTGTTTTGTACCAAAGGGTAAAGATGAGGTTACCGGAAAAAGCGAACAACCCGGCATTACCCTGTGTTGTCATGAATTCCCTACGCTGGGAAAGTGTGGGGATCCACACCAGTGGGCAGCCCCACTAGGGGATACGATAATGAGAGGGGCGCAGGACCCCATCAGACGAGGCAACTCCAAAGACCTAACACTGGGCCGGATAGCGCCAATTTTTACGGCATTGTAAATATAAGCACTCCTAGCGTGCGACGACATTCGAATACAGCCCATATAGAGCATACCTGAGCTAGAGACCTGTGAGTGTAGGAGTCCCGAAAACCAGAAAAACTCTAGGAACTGGATTTGTTGCTTGATAAATTCTCTACAAAAGTGCAATAGTTGGGTACCCCATGGCTATTGCCGCCACTGCATCGTGGGTTTGGCATTAGTTGGAGCCTATAGAATCGAGTCCCGAACACCAAAGGTACATATCTAGAGACGGATTAGGAAAATCTCCGAGGAACTCCCGGTTCTTCACTACTTGAAATATCGTAGGAGGAGGTGTTCCCATCGGCCCACGGGCCTCACAGCTCCTAGGTGGGGGGCCGCCTGCCAGGAGCCCAGGTCAGTGATATCTTAGGACGGGCGTCTTTAGGTCGGATTATAGGGCCTACGGGGTGAGACGGTAATTTTAAGGGTATTTTTACAGATAATGCAGCAAGGTACTGCTTCAACCAAGACTTTTCGATTTATATAGAAGATAGTAATGATAGTGAGAGAGAGAGAATAGACTGACCAAGTGGGAAGGAAAACAACTTGGGAACGAGATGACTTCTTTTACTTGAAGGAAAAATTAAAGAACGAAATACAGGACTTGTAACAACTTCTGACCCGAACTTCCAAACCTCTGTGGAGAAACTTCTATCCTCCTCCCCTAATACTAGTATGAAGAGAAAGAGTTTTCTAGTTCCATATCACTAGTCTGTAATACCGGTTGTTGGAGAGGAAATATTTTCACCAACAAAACATCTCTGGTCAGGAGCCAAAACAGAGCATTTGAGACACTTCCGAGAGCATGCTGCGCAGCAACTCCTGATTTCCAACAGGTATGGGTAAGGCCCAGGGGACCCACGAGTGACGTCTTATGAGCAGACCCCTGTCTGTCCCAATTGTGTTGTGGCAGAGGCTGATATCAGATTGCGCAGTGGTAAAGAAAACGGAATAGGATGGAACTTCCCTGTGATGGGATAGCTGGAAGAGGTGCGCACTTCGTCTTGCATTCACTCACTCCTCTAACTAATCGGTAATGACAGGTGTATAAGTAAAACATCATCAAAGTAACCCGATCCCTCCATAGACCACTACACCCATCTCTATGATTCTACACAGGCCCAAGTTGCTCCACGCACTTCCGTGATAACAAAGGAAAGACATATCTCTAGAATCCTCTTCCGACCTTCAACAAATCCATAATGCTTCTAAACAATGAAACGAACTCCAATGACCTCCATGAACAACCTTGCGCTTCGACATCCTTCCCTTTTCTTCCACGGCCAACCACAACACACCATCTTTATCGATTCCAACAAATTGCGTGAACTGAACTTAACAAAGCAAGCTTGATGTCATTATCCACAAACCTAGAAGCTTAAGCTACGAATCCACCTTCTACTTAGAAATAAAACCTTGGAGTCCATCTACTACCCTAAACTATGACTACTTTGGCCGCGTTCCCGAATAAGGGGGAGCACTACTAGGGAACTAGAGTAGTGGCCGTGCCCTATTACTCATAGGATGGGAAAGTATTCGGTGAAGGAAGCATAGAATGTGGAGCCCAAATTACGTGAGTTCACAACCAGAATGCCCATTCCGAGGGATAGATAAATGCAGCGGCAGGCCAATCTGGGGGGGTATATTTGATCGGGTAGTGTCAATGACACCAGAGAACAGTGGCTAATTGGCAGAGTTTACCACCTCATACATGACGCCGGGGCTCATTGTCCATCAGCCGGCGAAGCGTAAGGCGTCCGTGTACCCCAAAAAGATGGCTATCCCGCGTTAGCCATCCCGTCCTGTCTCCGAAACGGGTGGACTGGACCTTTGGGGGCGCTGGCTCGAAGATGGGCTATCGAGTGAGGTTGGTCGACCGAATTCTCAGGTGTTGAGTAAATGGGGTTCATCTTGGTCAAAAAGCTATGGTGATGAAAACCTGATCCCATGATCCACCTCGTATCCGCAAAACCAATAGTTGTACATTTGTGGACACAGCGCATCTTTTCTCACTAGCTCATCTCAACTACAGTAGCATTCGGTTCCGATAGAGAATATGCAATAGACCCTACTAGAATTAACGCATATGGCGGATCAGGTTCTCTGGGTGCAAAGCAGAGACGGCTAAATAATAATAGAAAATGGATTTGATCCTAAACACATTTGGAAATGAGTGCAAGTTAGTAAGGCTCCCGGTTTCTGCTGCACTAACTCTACTTGTATGACTACGGTGAAAAGAGCTTGCTACATACCGGTATCGCCCGATGGGACTCGGCACAAGAGTTTTGACTGACTCAATACCTAGGCGGTTTAGGTAATGTAGCTTCATAAGGGCAGGGAATTCAGTAATTTCAGAGAAAAAAAATCCTGAACACAAATTCAGATTGATAAACTCATAGAATAGTAATATAAATACTTTAGCACCTCCCCAGACATCTCTGCCATCTTAATCGAACACATAGCTCACCGCAACCCTCTCCCATCCGGCCATAGCCAACACCACCACAGTCATCAATCCCGCAGTCAAAAGAATGGCTCTTCGGAAGTAATAGAGAACTGAAAAGATATACCAGAAGATCATGATCCAGAAAAGCGATACTAGCACTGGCGCCGGCTCGAAGATGCAAATAGCGGCAAAGAAGAAACAAAGCATGAACAGGGCACGGATGCCACTGAGTGACGGCAATCGACTGAGCCCGACCAGGAAGGTCTTTTTCTGTGACACTTGAGGCTTTGTCATTGTGTTGCGTGTCAATACCGGTACTGCGCTTGGTCGACCGGATTTGGTTTCCGGCAGTGACGGGACATGTGTCCTGGCCTCTCGGAAGGAAGGTAAACTCATAGTGTGAGTAATAGGCGGCGGCGGTGGTTGGTCCCTACTATATCAAGCGTTAAACCCCGATCTAAAGTCTGAGGTCAGGAGCGCATACACAAGCGAGTGGCATATCAACGGAATAACCACTTCAATATGAACCTCGTGAGCCCTTTTCGTCACCTTATCAAGCACCTTATTCAACTTCTTCTCAGCCCTATAATAGCCAGCACCGTAGCTCCACATCTGCCCGAATACCGGGATGAAGTGCACGAGCTCCTCGATTGCCTCTACGGCCGCCTCCTCCCCAAATTCCTCCTTCAACTCATCCTTGATGTGGTCCGCCATATCCTCCTTCTCCCAAAAGTCTTTCGCCTCACTCTTTATGGTCTTCTTCAGCTTCTTCTTCACCTGGCCCTTGAAGATCTTTTCCGGATTTGTCTCAATTAGTTTTGCCTTGAGGGCTATGTCGAAGAGTTCCGCTTCCATGTCCCCGTCGAGTCCGAAGGACTTTAAAGCTCTCGAAGCAAAGAATAGGGCACCGCCAGATTTTACCAGTACCTTACCCATAGGGACCGCCCCGGCGGCGGCGGTCCCCTGGACTACAGAAGCCCAGGTGCCAGAGTTTCGCAGCGCCCGGGCTCTCGAGGAGAGGGTTGTTTGGGCGTAAGCTTTTAGGTGGTCGTTCAGAAGAGATCTTCTGATTTCAACGGGGTTCGGGAGAAGGCGGCACCGACGAAGGAAGCTTTGGGCTTCGGCTTCGTAGTAATCGTGCCATTGGGGGAGCGTTTTTATGCCGTAGGCCATCGTAGATCGGGGTGGGCTTGGGAGACTACCGGTATCTCATAGATAGTCTCCAAAATCCCCCATTAGGGCCGGAATGACTTGTCTTTATCTCTTGTGCCTCTTGTGCTAGAGGCTGCGCTTCAGCCATCTCCACCTTCGTATTACTCATATTTCATTGAGGGTTAAATCGGTTACACAAGGCGCTCAAAGAACAAATCAGAGAGGCTTTTGTTAACTTAGCGAGTTTGAGGCACGAATCATTCAATTGAAGTTCAGCCGCAGTGCATACTAAAAGTAGATAAACGCCAAGGATTGAATAATAGTTTCATGTCACAAATTAAACCTACCGAACTTACCACAGTACCTACCTAGATCCTCTCGCTGTCACGGATTTTCTTTTCTCTGTAAAATCCCCGGTTTGTCCGTAGCTATCTAGTCTGCTTTATGAGCAAGAAAACTTGCCCTCCAAGAATCAAAATCAGATCAACTTGGAGAACTGCTTAGAGGTAGGAGATGTTAGCTGGTAGGATTCTGTTCTTAGGGAGGAGATAGAAGGTAGGGAGGGGGAGAGAGAGAGAAATTATTGAAAGTAGTAGTAGCGATGAGTCTGAGGTTGCAATACCAGATCCTGTAACATTTTAAATGCATGCTTGAATTGTGGATTTGTTTTATAAAATTTGCTTGTATGGCCTTGTTGATGCTATTCATAGGTAAATTTATTCATGTAGCCATACCATGAGCCACAATAATTGCCTTGTCCCGGGCCCATGTTCTCTGAGCCCCCCTGTTCGTTGACCCCGCCGGTGTTTTGCCAGCACCGTATTAACTCTTGTAATCCACTATCTCCGTAGCCTGTGCTGATCTCTGTTTCATTCACAATAGGTTTAGTTTGACAGGTTAAGAAAATTGCGAATACCGGTTAATGAGATCCAATAAACACCGGATGCTGAGGCTTTACCACTTGGGGAAAACACTAATCTTTCTCGGGAGGCTTTGACTCGGAATCCAGAGATTACAGAGGGTACGAGTACAAGTGCCAGGGATAATGTTTTCGCACAGTTAATTTAGGTTAACCCGCAGAATAATCCCTGTCTTGTGCGGAAGCATCTCCCCTGGCACTTGTACTTGTAGAGATAGTAGATTACAAGTACTCGAGTACAAGTACAAGAGTTAATACGGTACTCGTACTCAAGCTTCCTTTCCGCTATTTTCCTGACCCCGCTTTTCGCCTTCCTAATCGGGAAGGTGATTAGGGGCCAGAACACCAAACACCCCCTCACGATCTTTCCCTCGCCTAACTTTCTTGGGGCTTCATATGGCTTGGGTACTCAACTTTCATCGTTTGGATAACGCAAAACACGTCCTTTCGCGCTGGGGCTTTGTCTTCTGGCCAGACTGGACTCTAAACTCTTCCTTACTCCCTCCTGGGTTGGCATCTCGCCTATACGCCCTGTGAGGTTTCGAACTTCCCACCTGCTTGGTCCTTCCCCCCAAGTAGGGACACAGAATACGGGTCGACACTATGGCTGCGGGGTCGGTATTGCACTATCTCAGGTCTCGATTGGGTCGGTCGGCTTGGATACACTCAAAGGGGGGGCTGGCACACCCTGGTCAAACGCTCCCCGACGCTACGATTACACCAAAAGGTTCTCCCATGTTAACCTTCCTGCTTTTCAATGGCAGGGCCGGGAGAAAACTGTGGGACGATGTCATCTCAAGGAGGTTTCTTTTGTTTGGGTTTCCTTTGTATTTCCTTTCTCAAGAGAATACGGTGTGGGTTTTCTTGTCGCTTCCTGCCGGTGCTTTGGGGGTTGTGGCTTTGCGGTTATGGGGTAGGGCTATGGTTTTCTTAGTGCAGGATGTGCGGTTAGTCCCATACCAGAGGGACTTGGGGTGGCTTGTTTTTCCCTAGGCCTGTGGAGGAGGTTTTTGACCGACATGCCGAAGAGGCCAAAACGGGGGTGTGGGGCGGTTATTACAGAGGTGCCCTGGTGGAAGGATCCATGTTTTAGCCGGACTGCGCCTTTAAAGCGGAGGTTTGCACCTATATAAGCAAATAAATTCTAGGATTTAACAAAAAAATACGGTACTCGTACTTCAGGCTGCTGCATGGACACGTGACCCGATTCGGTCGCGTTCCGCATGCCATCCTGCAAGCAGCGACCTCGGCTGCAGAACCTCAACTTCAACCCCCTCTGTAGTACTCGAGTACAGGTGAGAGCGACTTGTCACTCATCTAAAGCCTCATTAACCGCATTCTAGGACGCTATCAAAATTTCCGAGAGCGGAAAGCCATCCAGCAAGTGCGAGTACAGTATCCCACAAGCCATACCGGTATCTCTCGGCATTGTGCAGCAATTATTAATTGGCGGGGTACAAGCAACCGGGTCCTCCTAAAGAGTTTATAAGTTTAAGGAAGCATTATGGCAGATACTCGCAAGACGGTTTTAATAACTGGGTATACTTTTGTCCCTCTATCCAGTGGCTATGAACCATCCTCAGCTAACACCCGTGAAGCGCAGGGGTAGGCGGTATCGGCGGCTCTCTCGCTGAAGAATTTCATCTAAAGGGTCTCACCTGCCTATGTCTAATTCGTCTTATCGTGCTAACAGAAAGAAAAAAACAGGCTACCGTGTCTTTGCAACAGCTCGGGACCTCACTACGGTGCAAGAGCTTGTAGACAAATACTCTATGGAGACTTTGCGCCTGGATGTTACGTCTGCCGAAAGTGTGCGGGCAGCGGCCGAAGAGATATCACGGCGTGCGGGGGGTAAACTGGATGTTCTTGTCAACAATGCGTAATTATGCCTCCCCCCAGGTCTCTACCATAACGTACTAATAAAATTCTCGATACGGCAGAGGCCTCGGGGTTGTAACACCTGCGACAGACCTCCTCATTGAGACGGTCGTAAAGTCAATGTTTGAAGTCAACGTTTTCGGTGTAATGCGCATGGTCCAAGAGTTTTCCGGGCTGCTCATTGCAGCAGAAGGCACTATCGTGAATATTGGATCGGTGGCGGCGGTTATACCTTATACATTTGGTAGTGCATATAACGCTACTAAGGGGGCGTTGCACAGCTATTCGGATACCTTGAGGGTTGAAATGAAGCCTTTCAAGTGCGTTCTATCCCCAGCCAGATCCATTTGTAGGTATACTAATAGATGGCCGTAGTGTTAAAGTTATGGTGGTAGGTTCTTAGTACATGAGAGGGATTGGAGGTAAATCAGCTAAGAAAGTATCATAGATTGTCACTGGTGGCGTTAAGACAAATATAGCAAGGCACGGAACAACACTCCGGCCAGGATCCATCTACATGCCCATCTTAGACTTCTTCCATAAAAGAGTTACTGATTCGCAAGGTCAGTACCCCCTCACTCTCCATTCCTATCATCCGGCTAATAAATTACAGACGGCGCAATGAATCGAGATGCCTACGCCCGCTCCGTCGTCGCGCAAGTGATGAAACCAGATTGGCGGAAGCCAGCTTGGTTCTGGAATGGTAACAAGGCCACAATCGTCTGGCTCATGCGAACATTCTTGTGGAGCACGGCTTTTGTAAGCCCCCTTCTAGAGGCATTGCCCACGACTTAGCTAATGCGCACTCCTTATAGGACTTCCGAATGATGCGTGTGTTTGGATTATTCAAGCTGAAGAGGATAGTTGCTGCGGAAAAGAGGAAGAAGGATTAGTGTCTGGCTTCTGGATTCCAGACTACCTCCAGGGCACGCGGCTATGGGGGTTTGTTTCATACCCTGTTCCGCTGGGAATAGGGAACCGGTTCTGGCTTTGCTTTCCCCACAGCCGCTGTTATTAGGCATGGGAATTTTAGCTTATTGATGTCTTTCTCCTTGCTTGCCAAGCGCACCAATTTCGGGGCTTAGGTTCCGCAATAGCTGCGGATTGTTTGGGGTGATGGTGCGTCGCCCGCCTGCATTTCTAAGTTAACTGTCCCAGGAGATATATATATGTCCTAGCCCATCATTGGTTAGCATCTCTATCGGCCGTCTAGTCCATCATTCTCTCGTGTCCAATTCCTCTTCGCCCCCAGTAATCTCACCCTCACCACTTTACCCTCTAACTTTTTTCTGTTTTTTTTTAGGTGATGCCCCATCAATCACGCATCTGATACTCAATCCTGAGCCGCCCACTATACTGCACCTGCTCATTTATATCAATCGACACGAGGAAAGGTAATCCGATCTCATCGCGAGTAATAATATTTGCACCCCAACCACCATTTTAAGTACGATCTTACCCATAGAATAGTAGACCTAGAGCCACGCACGTCAATCAGCTGGCACAAGTCGTTATCCTAAATTACCAGCGGATCACCACGTCCCACTATTCATACCCCCTCCGTATGGGCACGGGAGCGGCGCCCGTGGTAACCCTCATAGTAGTCTTCGAAGTAGTACCAGCAGTCACACCCTCACCCCCATCTTGTGTGCAAGAATAATCTCCCGTGCATGCATAGCGTAGCCTGACCGCTAAATTAAACTCCACCCCTCCCATCAAACGTGGTTCTGACGGGACTTAAGCACCCTACAGCGCGTCGCGCGGTGTTACCCAAAAACCGTAGTGACCATTACCTTTCCATATCCCCGCGTACGGTCCTGTCGCATACGCAATCCGCCGCTCATCAATAACCGTGCCAAGGTTCCCGTCACTTCGAAAGACGCTAAGCAACTTTCGAACTATGACGGCACTCCTACGGAGTGCCCCTCGGCTCAACGAAAATAACAGCTCAACGAAAACATCTCCACCATATCCAGTTCATCTTCAAGAAATATTTCTTTTTCCCACCACGAAGCCCACTATGCCTCCAGAATCATATTCCGAGATAGAGGCATGTATTCAACAAGCGATCGAAAGGCTCAATGGAGAATTGAAGCCAAATGTTGTCGCCATTGCTCGGGAATTTAATGTCCCCTCTCAATGTCTTCGTGCCTGTTGGAACGGCCGGCAGTCCCGCCACCAGCGCCCTCCATCAAACCGGAAATTGAGTGAAGCCCAAGATCAGGCCCTTTGCCAGTACGTTGATCGGTTGGACAAGATTGGAGTGCCTCCACGCTATCATAACATCAGCAGATATGCCAATGCGATGCTTCTTCGATCCCATGATGATGCACAAACAGCTGCCCCAATCATGGGCGAGATGTGGGCACGGCGGTTTCTTGATAGACATCAGGAATACAAGCTAAGAAAACAAAAGACGTTAGATGTTAATCGCAAACGCTCTCACCAAATTGATGACCTCCGCGACTGGTTTCAGCGGTATAACGCCATTGTTGAAGAAAATAGAGTTCTGGCAAGCGATATCTACAATTTCAATGAGACCGGTTTTCGGATCGGAATCGGGAGGGACCAATGGGTTGTCACTCGGGAGGCTTCACATCCAATATACCTAGCAAGTTCAAGCAATCGAGAGCTTGTTACAGTTATAGAAACTGTTAGTGGTGATGGTGTTGCGCTCCCGCCTATGATCATAGTACCAGGTACTCTTCATATGGAGGACTGGTATATGGAGACAGAGATTCCAGATGATTTTCTGGTTGGTGTTTCTGAGTCGGGCTACTCTAATAATATGAGAGTATATGATTGGCTCCAACACTTTGAAGAGTTTTCTTGCCGTCAGCGAGTGGGAGCATGGCGATTACTTCTCCTCGATGGTCATGATTCACACTGTACACGAGAGTTCATAGAATTTTGTGATGAGCACAAGATTCTATTGTTTTACTTCTCTCCCCACTGTACCCACCTTCTTCAGCCCTTGGACGTGGTAGTGTTCCAACCTTATAAGCACTATCACTCGGAGGCGGTGGATATAGCTACGAGAACGGGCTGTACCGAGTTCGACAAGATTGAATTTTTAAATGCCATCCAATCTATCCGCTGTCTTACCTTTAAGCAGTCTACGATAGTTTCCGCCTTCAAAAAAACTGGTCTCATTCCGTTCGATCCTACCATCATACTAGATAAACTTGTCGAGTACGAATCCGATACTGGCAAAGAACTATCAACACCACCACCACCTGAACTCCAAGTCCAAAGCCTACCCTCTACTCCTCAGACTGTTCGCTCCCTTAAAAGACAAGCAGATATGCTTCAAGTTCAATTTGAAGAACTCTCACCCTCTGCAAACCAAGTTCTACAGGGGTTTATTAAGGGAAGTATAATACAAGCCCATCGTGGTGCACAAGCTTTCAAGGACCTTGAGAACACCAAAGCAGCGGAACTGGCATGGGCTACACGATATAAGTGTAGTCGAAGGTTCATTCCAAATGGTGGCGTGATGTATGCTCATCAGGCTCGGTCAATGGTTCGGCAAAAACAGCAGGCAACTCTCGAGAAGCAGGTAGAGTAGGCTCAAAGATCACTCGAAATCGTCACAAAAGCAGCGGAAAACAAGGTTAAAAAGCAATGGAAGGAGATCTTAAAGCAGATGAGAAAGGCGGTAAAGGATAGAAATAAGAAACAAAAGCTGGTAAAGCTTTTATTTCATGGAATTGGGCGTTCGATTGTAAATGTTTCTACTGTAGTGTAATTGATTTTTCGTTGAGCTGTTATTTTCGTTGAGCCGAGGGGCACTCCGTAGGAGTGCCGTCGTAGTTCGAAAGTTGCTTAGCGTCTTTCGAAGTGACGGGAACCTTGGCACGGTTAGAAACCCCGGCAAGCTAACCCTGAGGTTAATCTCTGAGGATATCCCCCACGTGCCAGATACCGGTAGTATGTTAAGGTTATTGCTGCTCGGAGCATGATATGATATCATATGTAATACGGTACACTTAAACCCCTTTTTCCAGGTGGGGGAGCTTCCCCCACACCCGGGCCCCAGGGAAAGATTCTCCGAGATTTGAACTTCCTATTTGCCGGGCTCCCTTCCGTAAAAACGGGTCGTGGGGTCGGGTTATGGGGCCGGGCGCAAAGCTTCTTTCTTCTTACTACTTTTCCATACCTAAAACGGTCAGGGAAACCCGGAAAAAAGAATGATCCCCTATTTTGGGATCACAGACTGTTTGGACATTCCTAGTGCCTAATTAAAGTATATTAACTTTGTATTGCGGGGTGCATATAATTAGTTATAAATTTATATTGCTCCTGTTGCGGTAGCTGCTATTCCCGCATCATATATACTACGGGGGGGGAATAGCTCCTATCGCTTTTGCGACCCAATTGCCTACTCGAACAGTTACGAGGATTTTCCGGGTCGATGGCTACCATATACTAGCAGTACAGGTTTTTTTTCAGGGCTCCCAACAGCAACTCACCCATAAGCACGTATGGGCACCCTCCTTGATCGGATACTCCTCCCTGACATAACTATAAAAATTAATTCCCCGAAGTATTGTATCACTTCAGACGGAGTATTTCCCTTCTTGTCACAATAGCATAGGTAACAAAATATATTCCTCTATTATTTTAGCCATGACAGCCCCAGAGAACTCAGCTACTGATTTTTCTCCAAGCGCACCCCAGGAGAAATTGTTAATTTAGTTACGAGCTCATGAGAGATTGAACGAGTCACTGTTTCCCACCTGTTTGTTCTCCTAGGAACAATTTCGATGGCTACCTTCAAAAGTAGAAATGGAAGGAAGCCCCCCCAAAATTACCAAGGCTGTCAGAATCGTCAATTCCAAGGGATTTGTCGTTCTAGAGCATTTCTGCTAGATAGAGGTGAAAATATTCATGATCCTAGGGCTTTTGCTTCTAATCTTGAAGATAAGGCTGTGCGAGCAGGTTTTGAGCTCAGTACCGGTATAGTTAAGAATCAAAGAGGAATTTCCCCGCTTGCGTTTTCGATCCAAGTGGTAATTAGGAAAGAATCTTATTCCATATATACCTGTCCTGTTCTATGACACATTCAATTACGACATATCAAGGAAATATCTACAAGCTATACCGGTCATATGTGTGTCACATGACTGACACACGCAATGACCTACAGGACGTGGAATCGTACTAATCAACAATAGGTCAGTTGATGAACGGTTGGTTCGAACACCGGGCGAAATGGTTAACTGTCCTCAAGCAAGCTCTTTGTAGACTAAGCCAAAACCCGGCCACCGTTCGAACGACAATTTATCCAGCACCTTCTAGTGACATTAAAGCTCAGGCTTTCAATTACCATTTATATATACCCCAAACAGGTGGCCGTAAATACTGTAGACCGTTCCCGAGATCATGAGGGTGGGGCATTGGGCATTGCTCGCACGGATGTTTGATATCGGTCAATCACGTTTAGGTGGGTATTTTCCTGGGTGAGCTGAGAAGTTTTGTGTTTGGGTAAGACTGATCAGGGCCCAGCCAACGGATTGGCGCGTGCTGGATCTCCTCTCGCAAGCCCGGAGGTAGGGGAAGCAACTCCCGTTGAGGGTAATCCCAAAGATTTGGGGCAATTTAGATTCGAAATTAAGCAAGCTTGAATTTTTGGTGCTTCGACAACACTAGTGTGTTTTGGCGATCTCTTATACCGAAAGGCTGACTACCGTTCATTCAGCGGTCCAACTGATAGACTAATCCAAAGCGACTGGGTAATGTGTGTAAGCTTCTGGGCCTGCGTTTGTGCTAACCTAGAAAACACACCTGTAGATTAGGACCATTAGAACCCTTTCCCCATCACCTATAGCTTGTTGGTTGGTCTCAGAACCTCATTGACTACTTTTGTCTTAAGCCTTCCTATAAACGGTCACCCCCCTCCCGTCCTCCAGGTAGAGAGCTTAAGTACCGGTACCAGTAGGTGGCCTCTATTGCTCGAGAAATTAGTCGGCGGGCCGTGGCGGTAGCCACGCACCAGTTCTCCCAGATTATATTGCCCCTTGAAAGCTGCTGAGTACTGTCCCTTTTTCCTTTTCAAACACCCAGATCCACAGTTAGGACATCAGCATCCCCAACGTGAGAAATAACTCCTTTCTTGGTCGCTGCCATTGTTTCAATTGGCCGGATCCCAATCAGAAGGCAAGATCGACACCGTCATTAGCGCTGCTTATGCTAGCTAAGAACGTCACCTATGGAACAAAGACATGAGGAAGCGAGAGTGGAGGCAGAGATATGATTGTTTATCAAACTCGTTACTCTCCTGAGGGCACCAGCTGGTATCGCTCACGCAGCACCTAACATATAGCCCAACATTCAGACCATCTCATCAGAAGGAATAACCCTTGCAGGATTATTTCATTGATAGATCATGCTTATCCATCATGTTCTTTAGCCTACAGCAGGTTAGTTAGCCGGGGGTCTTGGCTCTCCACAATGCTCTGCTCAGGCACTGCTGCTCTACGTTCTAATCGCCCATTTGTAGTCTTTCTCGACAACCGAACACAGGCACAACTCTGCTCGTACCATAAAGCTATCCCAGTAATACAAGTCGTTCTCCGTTTTCCTCCCTCCGCCCCTTTAAATACCCGTGGGACAAGGCGTGGCTGAATGCAGTATTCTGAGTGAAGAGGGCCCGTTCTAATCGTATCGGCACTGTACCGTACCACTTACACTTGTACTTTTACGAGCACAGCCATTACTCGTCAGGCCTGCAGTGCGGGGCGTGGTGGGGCTCGCCCGGTTTCTTGGCACACCAGGGTTAGCTCTATCCCTACCATACATGCGACCAACCAATGGCCCCCAAATCAACCCCTGGCTTGCATGTTGTGTCTTTACTCGAGTATCGAGACGGGAAAATAGAAGCGTTACTGGCTGGGGACGCAATCCACCGTAAGCAGCATGATGGCGGGCCACGATATCAGTAAAATATTTAATCTCAGCACACCAGCTCCCACTGTTTCACATCGACCCTGTGTCCTTATCCTCCTCTATAGACCCAACCCTCCCAACCCAGCGGAAAAGCATGCGAGAACCCTTTGGAGCTACGGGAAATGGTGGGATATCACTCCTTTGTGCGAAGCATACCAGCGCTAATTACCTGATGTGGTTGTGCTATGATAGATCCAAAAACCCCAACCCCCCAGAACCGTACCATGTTTCAAGGATTTGAATGGCATACTCCTGCTGACCAGCATCATTGGGACCGCCTAGCAGGTGCGATACCTAAGTTGAGGGAGATTGGTATCACTACTCTGTGGATCCCGCCAGCCTGCAAGTCAGGGAGCCCATCGAGCAACGGCTACGATATTGTCTGTTACTACTCTTTCCAACACCCTTCATCGCAGCGTTTCTCATAAAGCCGTAGTATGATTTATACGACCTCGGGGAATTCGATCATAAATGGTCAAGACCTACCAAATGGGGACACAAGGAATCCCTGATGCGCCTGTGCGACACGGCTAAACACTACAACATCGGGTTGGTTTTCGACGCCGTTTTGAATCACAAAGCATGCGCAGACTACACTGAACGGTGCCGAGTCGTTGAAGTCAACCCGGAAGACCGCAACGAGGTGATTTCCGAGCCATATGAAATCGAGGGATGGTTATCTTTTGATTTTGCCACCCGAGGAAATAGGTACAGTCAGATGAAGTACCATTGGTACCATTTCTCGGGGACAGACTATAATCAAGAGAACCAGAAGACAGCGATATATAAAATTATAGGCGATAATGAGGAGAAAGAGTGGTGTCAGAACGTGGATACGTCTGAACTCGGCAACTACGACTACCTGATGTTTGCTGATCTTGATTATTCCAACCCTGATGTTTGTAACGATGTAAAGAACTGGGGCGTTTGGGTTGCTCAAGAGCTTGGGCTCAAGGGATTCCGGTAGACCACTCTCTCCCATGCCACCTCAGCCTCCGCTAACCGTTTCCCTACTAGGTTTGACGCCGTGAGACATTTTTCTTCAGAGTTCCTTAAGGAATTCATTGACCATCTAGACGAAAACCTCGGCGAGGACTGGTTCTTTGTGGGCGAATACTGGAAAGGACATGTTGAGCCCCTGGAGAAATTCCTTGACGAAATGGATCACAGATTCACGCTCTTCGATTTCCCCCTTCTAGAGAACATCTTCAAGATGTCCAATTTCCCCTCTGCAGACCTTACTATGATCTTCGACGGTTCATTAGTGGAAAGCCGACCACTCAATTCCGTGACATTCGTCACGAGCCACGATACACAACCGGGCCAAGATCTCGAAAGGATAATTCCAGACTACTTCAAACCATTTGCCTACGCTCTGATCCTATTGAGAGCTGAAGGGTATCCATGTGTGTTTTTCGGTGATATATACGGCATCAAGGGGAATTATCCGTCCCCACCTTCTTGCTCAGGGGCCCTTCCAAGTCTTGTGTTGGCGAGGAAATTGTATGCGTACGGAGAGCAGAATGACTTCTTTGATGATCCCAATTGTATCGGATGGGTAAGGAGAGGCACACATGATAGAAAGGATGGATGCGCAGTGCTCATGAGCAATTTTGGGGACGGGGAAAAGAGGATGTTTGTTGGCGAAAACCATAAAGGGGAGATTTGGACCGATCTTTTGCCGTGGAGTGAAGGTGATGTCAAAATTGGAGACGACGGTTGGGCAGAATTCCGATGCTATGCTATGAGTGTTGGTGTTTGGGTCAACAAAGCCGCAGAAGGAAGAGACAAATTCGGGGATTTGTGAGTTTGCTCACCGAATCCTCAATCCCGGATACATTATTCGAAGCTAACCCAATTGATAATGCACCTAGCGATACCAATATATACCTAGAGTGATGATCTATGATTCTGAAATATGTCATCTAACGGCAATATCTTAGGACACAAATAACACACCACGAGTACTAGGAATAGGTCTCCCTATCATTGGGTGTGGGAGGCGCATCGTGTCTTTTCATTTATTTATTCATTTTGGCTTTGGCGCGCGAGATACGCTACACAAAAGAGTTGAAGAATACACGTTAACATACTTGTATCTGGGAGAATCATTTTCTTAGGATCCAACCCACTAAGCATTAAAGTTACTTCTTATCGCAATTTACACAATGCTCCAAACACAATGGGGTTTATTTGCAAAGAATAAGTAAGTTTGGCCGAAGCCCGTGAGAAATTGATAAAAGGCCCTCCGCCACCTCTCTTTCACCACCTACCCTTCCACTTCCGTCCCCCCCCATTATTCACTCCTTTCCCAACCTCCCTAACGATACAAACCTCCTGCAATGAGATTCAGACCCTGCGCCACTAAGATTGCGGTAGCCATTCCCGTCTTGGGGGCTCTCATAACCCCTACGTTTGCCCTCCCGGTGGCAAAGAATCGCTTCCGCCCAGAGAGAATTCCCCTCTCGGTGGAGGCCATCCGCGAGAGGGTTGGCGATCCCCTTTTCCGCTACGTTGAAGTTCCCGTCGAACCTAAAGAGGGTACTGCAGTCCCCGTGCCCACTCTTGTACCCAACCATCCATCCGACGGCGAGATCATTGACCCTACTTACAACCATAAAGTACGACTTCACCATGGTGCTACGAGTGCCGTGAAAGACCGTCACAATGCTTCCGAGAGCGACAGAGCTGAACAAGACGAAGCGTTTTATGAAATCGAGGATATCGCGCCGGTCGAAAAAAGAGGTGTCCTCTCTACCCTCACTGCTGAACCCGAAGAATTTACCCAGCCAGTCCAGCCCGCCCCCGAGGAGCAGGAAGAACCCAAAGTTGAACCTGACTATTCCTCCTTCGAGGAGGAATTCAACTGCCGCACTCAAAAGCAATGTGAGAAGTACGCCCGCAGACTCCAAGCATACCTCGACGCCCTCTCGGGGCCCGACGACGGGCCCGACGACGAAGACTTGGAACCTAGCTGGGAGAGCACCCAGGACGAGCTCCTCGAGGAGCCTGAAGTCGATGCTCCCCACCACAAGCAAGTTGCCAAACCCACCCGCGCCCTAAGGCCTCGCGAGCCCACTCCTGACCACTTCGACGGGTACGTCGAGGTCCCGATCAACCCGGACAACGCCACAACAACAACCAAAGGTGTCATTAGTGCAAAAACCCATGCCTATCTGCTGAACCGCTTCAAGCCCACTCCCACCACTGCCGATGATACTCCTAAATATGAGGTTCCCGCCCACCTGCTTCCCGAGGCCCTCCTTGATGCGCAGGAGGACCCGGAGGGGTATATCGAACGCAGGACTATGCACCGCCTTACTGTCCAGGACATCAAAGCTGAGGAGCCGGCCCCTGCTACGGTCCCTGAAGGTACTGCCGTGGCAGACGAAGCCCCGACCTACCCCACCAATCCTGCCCACACTACCCCCATGGGGCATATTCATATCACCAGACCCATCATTCAGAATTAAGCGGCTATTTTTTGTTTCGAAGAGATGATGGAGATAGAGATAGTGGAAGGATGGATGATCTTAGAAATTGGTTTATTCCTTAAGTCACTGTGCCTCAACCTTTTTTCTCCTTCACCCTTTTTCTTTCTCACTTTCCTTCGGAATTTGTTTCATATAGGCCCGCGCCAGAAGCCTGATGTACTGCAGTGGAGTGCACCTATGTGTATGGTTCTTAGATTAAAACCTGAAAAACTACCAACTCGTGAACAAGTAAATAATAAATTCTCTTTTTTTATTCAGTGGTTCACCAAATTTTTGCAAAAAACTGGGGTATTCTAGGATGGGGAAATACGTAAGTACTGTACTGTACACTGGACTCGCATAAATTCCCACGGGGAAGAAACTTCTTGACACCCCGCACAATATTTCCTCTCAATCTTGCGCGATAGAGCTTTTACTCGTAGGACATAGTCATTTCTCTGCGCCAATCGCCACCTGTCCCAACCCAATAGGTTACAAAAACGGGGATCACGAGCAGCGCAAGCGATGACGGAATTGGGTTTTGGCTTTTTCCCCAACTCGAATGGGTAACCGCAGACCCAGCAGGATGAGCTTAGTAGTTAGTACCGACTGATAATCAGCGCAACAGATCCCTACCTAGATGATTCTAGTAGATCGACGTTCGCGATAGGTCATAGGTTCAAGCCTAGCCCGTCTTTTCATTTCACGAGTCTGCTTCACATGCGAATGATACGGTAGGTACGGAGGGAGATTAGAAAGTATTTTTATTGTTAGCTGCTAGCTATGGGAAAGGGATTCAATTGGTTTACGGGTTACGAATATCTACGTTGAGTATCGTCGGGAAAGCATATCTACTTGCTCCTAGTATTGGGGGTATCATATTCGGATTTATGCCATGTCTCGCCGTCTGTGGTCTCTCTCCCCAAGAGCCTGGAGATACGCCAGGAGGTGGCCTCTAGGCTGAAATATCTCCTCATCGGGGGAAGAAGAGCTAATGATATTAAGCAGTTTCCAAACAGAGTAGAACACGATCTCCCTATTCTGAAAATCAAACACGTCAACATCCGGCTGGAGGATCCTGACGCTAAAGATAGGCTTACGGTTTGCGGCTCCGGGGAAATCGGGAATGTTGTGAGCGAGGATATCGATCTTGCTGTCGTCCCAGGATGCGTCGTCGAAGATGCGGTGAAATCCGGTGCATCCGATTGGCAATTCTTGATCGCCAGCTACGATTTCGGTTTCGACGAAAAAACGATTCTCTATTACCATGGGTTTTCCGATATACTGGGGCTGTTTGGAAAGAATCCACTTCCACATGGCGTGGAAGGTGAAAACTCTTCTCAATTCGATTTGTGCTATCACGGCGGTGTTGAGCCCACTGCCTGAGACCAGGTAGACGGCCGGCTGAGGCCTGTCTGTCATTTTATCGTACGGTAGGGGTAGATTTTGGTAAGCTTAGGAGGTAAGAAGGTGTAATTATGAGGAAAGGTGGAGTGATAATGGGGGGAAAATCGAAGCTAGGAGAGTCAGTTTCCAGTTTTCTCTTTGTCGTATCATAGTTGGACCCTGGCAGAGATTGGGAAACTTACCCTGCTTTGGTCCTCCCCTAGCCTTACCCCAATGCAGGGCCCAAGGCACCGATGGTACTCGAGTATGATATCTTGGCAATTCCCACCTGCAGAGCCGCTGTCACCCACCTCACGCGAGGTTGTCTCTGCCAAATCCGACAATCCGGGAGCCCGTGTGCAAGGAATAATTACTCTGATTATGCCGGAGTTTGCTTCTACTATCTTGCTGCAGCAATTCACTCGTACATCATCCATCCATAATGTCCACTGCCCCCGCTTCAACCGTTAATCACGCACGTCACACACTCTCTCTTCGCTTATCTGCAGCCCCCCCAGCTGACCATCACAGATTCTCCTCACCCCTTCGGAAACCGATTACCTCGACCAATTAATCAGCACCATAAAAGATGCCTGCTCTGCCGGTCGTGAAAATCTTCTTATGGACGAGCTCGACCGGTTCTCCAACGACCGTGAATCCGAGATCGAGCGACTGTGCAACAACAATCACCAAGACTTCGTCTCGTCAGTCAATCAGCTCCTCAACGTACGGAAAGGGACCGTGGACCTAACGGAGGAGATCTTAAAGCTCAACCAATCGATACAGAAGTCAACAGATAAGCTAGTTGAGCAGAAGAAGGCACTCGTGGACTCGCGAGACGTCCGACAGAATATTGACGAAGCGACGCAAGCTCTGAGACTATGTTTGGAGGTGTTGGGATTGGCGAACCGGGTGGGTGAGCTGTTGAAGCAGAAGAAGCATTATGCTGCTTTAAGGACCCTTGACGAATTGCAGAATGTTCATCTTAAGGAAGTCATGCAGTATGATGTCGCAGACATGATACAGAAGTCAGTTCCTGCAATGCAGGGGATGGTGAAGGAGGCTGTTATGACAGACTTGAATAGCTGGCTCTATAGGATTCGTAGAAGCTCAGTGCTTTTGGGGCAGGTTGCCTTTGACCAAACGGAGCTGCGACGGCGAAGACAGAAGGAGAGAATCGAGAAGTCGCCATATCTACGTGAGTCTTGTCCCCGGCGTAGACTGGGCAGTCGTGTCCTAACTGCCGCACACAAGGCTCTTTCAAACTCAATTCCGCAATCGAGCTTGTTCTAGATGAGCGAGAAGAATTTGATGTCCTTGACAATGAAAATGTTAACATCGATTTTACACCGTTGTTTGAGTGTTTGCATATCCATGAAGCTCTAGGGGAGCGGGACGAGTTCAGAGTTACCTATGCCAGCGTTAGGGGGCAGCAAAAGGAGCTATTGCTGTCCGGGTCATTGACTCTATCAAATGAGGATATATCTAGTCTTAATCAGTTGCTAGAGGATATCTGTGGCTTTGCTATAATTGAGCGAGCTACCATGAAGAAAGCTATAGGCTTTCGTTCGGCAGTTGACGTTAGTGCACGCTCCAAGCTCTCCCACACTCGTTTAACCGCTGCTCATATCCGGGGGTTATAGGTGGATGAACTCTGGGATTCAATGTGCAAGAAGGCCATCAATATCATTACCCCCGCATTAGATAACATTACACAGGCCGACGCTCTATTAAGAATCAAAAATGTTCTTGCCCTCTTCATCCAGACAATGGATGTACGTGAAACCCCACCCTGTACTTGTGGGACCACGTATTAACCCTGGAAGCAGAGTTGGAATTACTCTGTAGAGGCTTTGGACAGCTTTTTGCTAGTTCTCTTTGAAAAGTATTCTCAGCGACTCAAGACGGAGTTCAGTGCTGATTTCAAGGAGGTAAGTGGTGGTAGTCACAATACCTTACACTAAATGCTTACAATTTATGCTCGCATCCCGTTAGATCGTTACGAGCGATGACTATATGCCCATGCCGATTAAATCCCTTGAAGAATTTGATAATGTCGTTAACGTCAGCTGGTATAACCCGGACAAGGAACGTGACCAGTTAGAGTACGTATATTCCCTAAACCAATAGGCTGATTTATGGCTGACCCCTGGATACTTTCAGACTTCCTATTGTGTTGCCATTCTCTCAAATGTACCCGTTGTGTTGCATCGATATTCGGAACTTCCTAAACAAATATTACTTCTTCTCCGACGAATATTTCACGCACCAAAGTGCCATCGATGAAGAACTTAAATCAGTTAGTCCCTTTCTTACATCATCTACGCCATATATACTAACAATTACAGTCCCTCGATGAGCTCCTGTGCAACCAAGTCTGCACCTCCTTAGTCGAACGCTTAACATCCAAATACTTGGGTCAAATCGTCCAAATCCTAATCAACCTTGAGCATTTCGAATATGCCTGCCATGAATTAGAGCTTCTCCTAGTAGAGGCGCGCCAGTCTAATCACGGCCGTAGCATATCCCTAAAAGCGACAGAACGCTTCCGCTCCGAAAAGAAGACCGCCGAAAAGCGCATCTTTGAGCTAGTCAATAGCAAAATCGACGACCTCGTAGAGACAGCGGATTACGACTGGATGGCAACCAAGAAACTCGAAGAACCCAGCGAATACCTCCAGCAAATGACCTTGTGGATGCGCAACATCATGAGTTCTACGCTCTTGGCATTGCCAAAAGAGATCAAGGGGTTTATTTACTTTGACGCACTGAGTCACATCGCTACGTCGATACTAGCCTTGCCAATGTCAGACACTGTCAAGAAGATTAACAAGAATGCCGTTGCGGCACTCGATATGGACATTCGCTACTTGATGGCGTTTGTGGATAGTCTTAACGAGCCACTGCTACCGACCATATTTGAAGAGCTGAGGCAGACCATTGACTTGCTGCAGTCCGACAATGCGGAGGAGTTTTATAGTATTGATACTAGGATGAGGCGGTATGCTAGTGTTAATCCGATTAATGGGCCAGTACTATTGGAGAAGTACGCATTCTATATTCTACAATTTCCATGGCCATTATTGACTTTATTTGCCTCTTTGCAGATTGGTCAGCGGAGCAGCCCCAGTTAGCAGGCTGGCACGGTTTAGACAAGGAGGTTAATTATCTGACGTTGACAAGATTATTTTTGCGAAGCAGATATCCAGTTACGGCCGTTTGGGGGCTTGAGTGTTTGTTAGGAGTAACATATCATAGTCTAATATCTCTGGGTTTGCACTTGAAAGCACGATATCATAGCTCGAACTAATTTGGGCTTTGTGCCATATTAGTTTTGGCATACCAACCAAAGGCCAGAAATCGACGCTCTTGCACATGGCGCCGAGTGGTAACGGATGAATGGCCATTTAAAGCTTCTCAGGGGTCACATCAAACATATCATACTTAATACGGTACCCGATGGAGGAGTGTGCGTATAGACCAACCTAAGGCGATATGATTTCCTATAGCGCCCATTCCACACCCAGAAGTACCCGTACTTCTGGGTAAACACTCCTATAGCCCGTATCCATGACCTGAAATGCCCGACTTAAAAGTCGGACGCAATTCTCTGCACGAGATTGTCATAAGCCACGAATGCTGTATCACAGTACTCGTTCGTTCTACACTTATCAACGCACGGGTCCCTGGCAGATTGCAACCGTACTACCGGTAGTACAGTACATCTGTAATCTGTGACCCCCTCCGGATCCTGGCTTTCGGTCAAGCCACCTTTTTCCTCCCGCCACCGGTTCTTCAGCCGCGACTGCTCCTTTCCCACGAAGGAATTTCGTTGATAGATGCTAGTGATCAACGCCGGTAACTTCTCTTGTCTCGGGGACTTAGCCGCTCCTATAATGCATTCCATGCTTGATAATATAATATAGATTAGCCATCAAGAGCCTCGGACGAAAGAAAAAATAAACCCGCCTGCTGGCAGGATAAATACCCGTTGCGGCAGTAAAGCTATGTGGAATACGTAACTGGCGTAGTGGCCAAGATGTCAAGAACCAATTAGCACGAACCCAGGAGTCCAATCCCCCCCCACCCCCGCCCCCCTCAGAAGGGGTTAATATTGAACAATCCATCATGTAGGGCGGGAGAAATCAAGAAATCAGACCTACTACGGGGTGGTAGAATCCCACTCTGGACCGTGTAACTTACACCCAGTGGTGAGGTCCGTTCTCAGTGCAGTAGCAGGAGAAGGGAAGAGTTATCATACTAAAAGGAAACAAGAATTGCTTTCTCCCCCTCCTGATTTTCAGTAGCGACTGCCATTTCTGAATGGCGGAGGGGACTCTATGGTACGGCACAGGCACGACCGAACTGGTCTATGAGGGGAGGGCGCTCGCCATCAATCCACCCCCGGTCCATTGATTTCCGTCCTTGTACCTATCAGCACCCCCGTGTACCTGACAAACTATTGCGCAGCCGAATGTACGTCCCCCTTGCTGTACTGATATTCCTGGTGGCCATATATTCCCGAATACAGCGGCGCAAGGGGAGCAGAGGGTTAGCGGGTCATATTCATCTTTCTCGTGGTGAGATTATGTTTCCCCCCGATGCTGACATCAGCCTCTCAGGCTACTATCATACCCTGCCCTCAGTCCTCCTCATCCATGGGAGAGTAGTTATTACAAGAACGATGTCAAATCTTAAGTACATATCACAGCTGACAAATAACATAGGATCTCATGTCAGCGCATCCCAGCCTTCCCCCGGGTGGCATGATGTATATAAACCAGCATACCAAAGCTCCCCGTGATCACTAGGGCCGAATTAAGAACCTCCTAGGTTTAATTTCCCCACACTCGCCCTAGAAATACTATCGGCCAATTATCATATGTATTTTCTAAATTAGCTTCCAACACGGCATAACCCGTTTTCAGTGATCATTGACAACCTCTCCTAGGAATCGAGTGTTAAACTTATATGGTATTCTTGATGATACCTCACGCATTTCTTCAACGTCAACGCTAGGCACTGGACAAGGGAATGGTAAAGCAAAAGCTTCGCTGCGGTGATAGACTCTCGGAACTTCTAACAAGACCGCACGAGATCTTGCCTATCGGGTAAGATAATTTCTGAAATTGTCGCTTCGATAGTGTGCAGAAATAATATATACTCTTCATCTTGGTTGGAATACCGCTATGGCTCGTGCTCTGCTTATTTGTCCATGGTTTTGGGTAACTTGGGGGGGGGGGGAGCAAATGACCAAGGAAATATTCTTTTATTGATATCTTGTTTGTTACACACGGTCACTAATTCTATCCATACATGCTCCCAGTATCCTATGGAAGTGTGGGGGGGCATGGCCCCTCTGAACCCACTTCAGGTCACTACGCAAAAAGTGTAAACCCGGCCCAGACACAGTTCTCCAATAGTTCCCACATCAGCAGATCAGCAACGTCCCCCCTAGTTACCCAGATCAAACCCAACAATCCCAAGAGTACTCTTCCCACACCTTCCACCAACATATGCCCCAACTTTTCCAACCCCAGTCTTTCCAACCCCCTCCAAAGCAGCCGTCAAAAAGTAGAAAACCCATGCATCCAGAGTCGACAGACCGAAAAATCTGGAACCCCCTTTCTCCCCCGCTATCACCGGCCTCCGCTGGAGAAACAGTGGGCGGAAGATCAACCTAAACATCTCGTGTATCAACCAAAGTCCCAGGGCAGATGCGAAGAGAGATCCAATCGGGTCACCAGTGGATCCTCCGGGGTGGTCTTGGCGATATTTCGGTCGAACAGATAATACAGATGCCAGTGCGAGAAGTCCCTTGAGGCAGACAACGAGGAGATTTTTGGAGCCTTTGGTTAGTGGTAGTATCTTGGTAAGTTCTCCACCGGTATCTTCTCCCCTGGAGCCGCGTCCGTGGGTGAGTGTTGCGTAGAGGAGTTCACGCAGGCTTGCGCCGCCATTAGCACCGTGTATGGCGGATTCTTCTCCACCGGAGCTGCCGCTATTACCGAGCCCCAGGTATCGAACTAAGGGTTTTTCCAGAATTTCGTTGAAGCGGAATACACGCGGGAGAGGTCCGGGGGGAATCGGGGGCAGCTCTCGGATACGGATTTGTGGCCTTGACACCGCACAAGCAAATACACTCCCTCTCTCCTTCACTCTCACGATCTCAGGCACCTCCAACCAAGGATCACGGAGCGCCTCCACAGCACTCGGTCTTCCTACAGGCTCCGGCGACAACAGCCCGCGCACAAACTCAAACCCGCCCTCCCCACCCACAGCCTCCCTCAAAGGCTCAAGCATAAGCTCAGCTTTCCCGTAGCAGAAATGCCAAACGAAGCACTCCATCCGGAAGAGTACGCTCCCGGTCAGAACCTCGAACATGACGCATCCCAGCGACCAAATATCGACTGCGCGGGTGTACTCTGACGTCTCCAGTGAGGAATCTAACACTCCAAGGATTTCCGGCGCGGAATATGAGCGCGTGAAGATCTGCGTGCGGAGTACGGTGTGTTCGTTGACGCACTTTGATACGCCGAAGTCGCCGAGTTTCACACGGAGGGGGGAGAGGGAGACTACAAATATGTTCTGTTCCCCCCTCCGTTTAAATTAGCTTCGGTCGTTTCTATGCTTGTATGACGGGCTAGATGAGTGAATAAATACCTCGGGTTTTAAATCCCGATGAGCAATCCCGTTCATGTGCATGACACTTAACCCCTCCAGAAGCTGTCTGGCTAGTAGCTTTGCCGTGGGCACCGACATTTGTTCACCGAGGTGCTGTCTTAGGTCCCCTTTCTCAAAGTACTCCATAGCGATATACAAATTTTCGCTATTCTCGAACCAGCCGAAGAATTGCACGAATAACGAGGCACGATTCTATCCCGCCATCAGATCCAGAAACATTCCACCTAGCAGAATGACACACAAACCTTTGTCAAGAAACCCATGATAGCCAACTCCCTAGTAAAATCCAAGCCACGCGAGAAGGTCGCCTTTTCAACAACTTTAACAGCTCGAACACGATTCTTCGGGCCATGCTCTAAGTGTACTACACCAAAACCTCCTCTCCCAATTACTTGCGCACGTCTCCATTCTTCCCCCCGCGCGCGCCCAGGGGGTGAGTAGATAGTGTGACTAACGCTGCCTTCCACAAAGCGTGTTTCCAGTCGGTAGTGCTCGACTAGGTCTTGCGAAGACTCCAGAGCCATGTTTTGTAGGGGGGACGTCCCTGGAAAGTTCGGGGGTGATGAGTACGGTAAGACTAATGGAATGTGTGGGAATCAAAGAAACGAATGTGAATACCTGCCGGTAGTAGAATTTCACCAGAAGAAAATAGGGGAGGGGGGATCGCCCTAAGTTACTGAGTATCATACGAGCAGCGCAGCAGGTTGTTATATAGCCCCACCCGCTTGACTGCGCCCCAATCATGGTCGTTGTACAAGCGTGGGGTATCGTACCCTAAAAAACTATTACCGGTAATTGAGAAACCCGGGAAGAGGTTGGAGTTTCCTCTCTCCCAATAAGGTCTGTTGTATTTCTCTTCTTATATCAACTGGGAGGTGAAAGAGATAATATTTTCGGTATGTTGGCCCGGGGGAGGGATTCTAGTCCAGTTTCGGACGGTATCAGAACGTTAACCACTAACTCAGTTTAACCCGAGCCCGATAGATACGGTAGTACGGGCATCCTGGGCTACAAACTGACCAGTTACATCCCTGAAGCTTACATAAGGGCTATATGGTAGCCCGCAGATGTTGGCATGATAGGATACCTCGAGCTCGTTTCTTGTTTCCCCCCCTTTAGTTTCCGGCCCTTGAGTACAATACCAAACAAGGACTACGGTAAAGGAAACCAATTCCAAAGGAGTTCTGTCCTGTACCAGCGCCCAAGGCCTCTACTTCGCGACCTAATATCGCAGAAAAACTGTGTTAGCATGACTTACGAGCTGATGCACAGACAGGAATCGAGACGTGTGAATGTTAGTGCTTCTATAGGCACTCCAAGAATCTTCCTATATGATGCCAAAGCGGCAAGTCTTTCCTGTCATCCAGTACCATCAGAACCAAACTTAGGCATCTGAGAAGAAGGAGGAGGGATCATGTTCAGAATGCACTATCAACTTTCAGTCTCATGTTGTCCAAACCACTTGCCTGACGGTCTGGTAGCAAAATTTCTGGCTCCTTGATAACAGGGAAACAACCTTATACTTCACTAGGTGACTCTTGCTTGTTCAGATTTGTTTCTAGAGGGGTCAAAGTCCGTCAATACCAGACAAGGGCCTCTCACTGGCGTCTTATAGAGCAAGAAGACTATACTAATTCTTATACCACAGTGCCAAAACTTTGATGCCCATAAAAGACTATGATAAACAAGACACAAGTATTCTAAAACTATGTATTACAGCGGATCACGGGGACATCCTATACTATGATACCCGAGAATAAATCCAAGGACTTAGGAAAAAAGGTATAAAAAAGAAAAAAAACTGGGTATGACATGATATACTACACTGTTCACGGATACGATCCAAGAAGCGCTATACAGCCACGCCCCCAAAGTTCTCACGCCCCTCTATGCAGCCAAAGTGCAACATCCAATAGCAACAAACAGAACAAGAAGGGCCTTTTGGACAACTGTTTTCGGATATGACTCTAGGAACGTTGAAAACTTTTATGGAATAGCCGAAAGATAGTGCTAGCGGAGAGCCGTAGCGCCAGGGAGAGTGTGAGAGCTTTGCGGGCGGCATGGCTGTACAAGTGCAGTACTATTACTCCACGTGGCGGTGTCACACCTAGTCACTCGGTGGAAATTGCATTTGCTCGAGTATGATAGTTCTTTCCTGGTGAAGGACTCGAGCGGATAAGTTCCTCAGCTATCGCTGCGCTAATCTAGTACGATATCTATCCTTAGGGTTCAATCATTGAGCTTTTTAAATATTTCTGCCCGCTTCACGGAGCGCCAGCTCCAGAGAGTTTTTGTTAAAAAAGAGCTTACAGCTAAATCTGCATTTGGTCCAGGACGGGGTGTAACTTGGGAGGGAGTCCTGGTTCCCGCCGCATCTCCCCTACTGGCATCCCTACCGGCGACACCCATGGCGGATGTAAGGCATTCATGCCAAGCAGTCCGATTTCCCTACCAAAAGTGTGCTATCCGAATATCATCCGGTACCGTACTGTACAGGTATCATAGAGCTGATGGTGAATGACTTGCATGGTGCCTATTAAGGAAAAATCACGACAGTCAATAACTAAACCCAACCAGCCACATCAATCTGTATCCACAAATGCTGCATCAGAAACTGGGGTATGGTCCCTCCACAGCGATTCTTGCGATATCTCAGTATCATAAAACCTCACTCGCGAAACCACTAAAGTAACCCCTCGCGACCAGTCTTTGAAAAATTCCCACATATAAGGCCCTGTTCGGCATGTATGATACGATATTTCTAAAAATATGTGGATTCGGTAATGCCAGCTCCTAATATATCAGTTTTTCTTTTTAACTCATAAATCTTATCTGGTGAGCAGATTTTTTCTCCTTCTTCCTTCTTATGTGGCAATAGGTATGGCACTGGATATTCCCCATTATACAGTAATCTCTTTCATCAAACTAGGTATCATAGTACTGTACTATGGCACTATTGTGCCCGTACTCATATTTATAGCATGCCGGACAGGCCCTGAAACACTCTGGGACCTTTCACTAAAAGGGTCATCCGTACACCCCCTTTTCACAATCGCAAAAACCTCCCATTTGCCCCCGACAGTTCAGGGGGCGCACGTGACTTAAAGTATTCTCCGGTGGTAATGTCCGAACCTCGGCACTACAGCCATAACAAGAACCTCTGCTCGAGTAGCTCCCAGAATTGGGGGAATAAAGCCAGGTTGGGAAGTGCTCCTAATATTCCTCGTGCTAGTCTGCCTCCTTCTCCTCCTCATCATCATCATTCTTCGTGTCGCACTCCCCCGAATCATTCTTAGGTTTTCACTGGTCGATTTACCGGGTCCACCGCTATTTATCATACAAGCATGGGTGCGCAACGACGAGCTTCCGACACCCCGACGATAAAGCCGCCGCCGCCGGCTAATCCTGAGAAGTCCGAAATTGAAAATAATCTTGAGATAACGGTGCTGGGGGAGTTGGGCGAGGGGGTTTTCACAAACACACGGGCTTTGTATAAGCCGACTGGGGCGAGGGGGATTTACGGCGGTTGCGTGAGTCCTTGTGTAGAATCTGGATTTTGAGTTGGTTGCTGATGTTTGAGATACAATAGGTAATCGCGCAATCGTTGGCAGTAGCACAAAAGACAGTCCCAGACGGGATGAAAATTCATAGCATGCACTGCTACTTCATCCTCGCCGGGAACAGTACGGTTCCTATAGTCTACCACGTCGAGAACGTTCGCTCCGGCCGGTCCTATGCCACCCGCAGCGTGCACGCTAAACAGAAGGGCCAGACTATATTCACGACGACATGCTCTTTTACCCGTCCCATCTCGGAGGACACGGACGAGCCGAAACAAACAGTTCAGCACTCTATACAGTTCCCTAAGGAGGTCACCGTGCCAGAAAACTGCCCGACGGGAGCCCAGATGATAGATAAATGGCTGAGCGAGGGCAGAATCGACGCCGAAGTGGCCGAATTCTTAAGGGAGCGTGAAGGGAGCGACCCATTCGAATTTCGAAGAGTTGGGATAGTAAACGACACCCCGGAGACGGACCCCGTGCACAAAATCCAGCGACAGTGGGTCCGCGCTCGGGGAAATATCTCGGACGAGGAGGCCCACTTACCCGCCCTGGCGTACTTCTCCGATAGTTGGTTCCTCGGCACGGTGGTTAGAGTGAACCCCCAGGCCCGCCACGGGCAGGTCGGGATGACGGTAAGCCTCGACCACGTTATCTACTTCCATAATGCACGGAAGACGAGGGTAGATCGGTGGCTGCTTGTGGAGTCCGATTCGCCGTGGGCGGCGGACGAGAGGGCGCTGGTCACGCAGAGGATTTGGGACCCAGAGGTTGGGTTGCTGGCGACCTGCTACCAGGAGGGACTAGTGAGGTTGAAGGATGGCAGGGAAGGGGAGAGTGAGAATAACGTTATTAGTAAATTGTAATGCGCTGTTGGGTTGGGGGGGCTCCTAGTATTATATGGATGGAGTTGCTCCTGGGTTGGCCTTTCTTAAACTCCGTAGTTAGACTTTTTTCGGTGATCACCCGGTTGCCGCTGTCAATCGTCTATGTACCGTTTTCTTACCGTGCTTTCAGAATATCATACCTGTGCACAACGATAATTTACCTACATTATCACAACAACGCACTCGCCAACACTGCCCGCCAGTCACCGGTAACATCCACCCCCAACCCGCCAAGCTCTAAGCCCTAAGCCCTACAGCGCTCAAATTTCCTCCTTGTCCCAGAACCCACCACGCCAAATTTCCATCAATTCACAATCCCCCAACTCTCCTCCTCAACACCAACCCTATGCATCAGAACCACCCACCAGCCCAATAACTCCTACGAGTATGATACAATAAAAACCTAGTACGTACAGTACAGTACAGTCCACCCCGCAATCCCCCTCCTCCATGCGATCGCATGGGAGTCCACACATGATGATCCCGCAACAACAGACCTGTTCCGAACGCGAAAGCTTGTGGACAAAGTCTTGCATCACCACCTTCTGATCCCCACCCCTTCTCCCTCTCTCTATACTTTACATCATTGCATTGGGAGGTGGGCTGACCTAGTTTGTTTAAGGTTACCAACGCTGGCGCGTTGACAGAATTTTCCAAGTCGATCGCCGGCGCCGGTGATGCTTACCGCTAGTGGCGGTGGTGGTGGTGGCGGTAGCGACGTGCGTATGTGGATCTAATGTATGTATCTCGATTCGCTATTATTCCCTGCTGGTTTATAGGATAGGCTGGCTTGAGGGAGGGGAGAAATCCTGTGATGAGAGGAAAGTTTTGAGTACATGCGTACATGCAGGCTGAAAATTGTGTTGAATGAACTTGGAGACCTTCTGATGGATTGCGATTTCATTTGGCATCAGGGGGAGTGGATTTTCGTCTGTTTTATGGGCTGATGATTGATTTGGGACGTAGGCGCTTGTGGATGGATGGATGGTGTTTGGACTGGGGGGAGGGGGCTGATTTACTACTTGGTAAGTACTCGAGTATATTTAGTGAGAAAGGCGTCCGATATCTTTGCCCTCTTGCCTTTGGACCTCACGATTCTTCTTATTTGGGGCATGTCTCAATGATGCTACTACTAAATTTTAATTGCCTATGGTCTTTTCTCCCTCAACATTATATCAAAGGTGAATATCCAAAACTCAAAACCTGGGCTGTGAATTGGTCGATGTATCGTACACGCGCCCGCGCAGATCCCCCAATGATTTTATATCTACGAGTAACTCGGCTCCAGATTCGCTGGAAACCACCATCTGTACATCTACCACCCCCACTATCACACACTACCCGCACCCACCACTCTCCTCAACCTCCTCCTTGGGCCCCTTCCCTTTCCTATAGACCCTCTGATCCGCCGGGTCGAACCCCCCGTTCCCCCAATTAGCCCACTCCGGCGTGGCCTCGCCAATATAATCCTCTGGGCCAAACTCCTTTCCACTCTCAAGCAGCTCAAAGAACTTGGCGTAGTCGATGAGTGTATGCCATTTCCCGTTGACAAGGAAGCGGTTTGAGGCGATTAAAGCGCAGCAACTGCATACATATTACCAACTTATGGCACCAGTAAATGATTAAGCAAGGGAAGGGGGAACAAACCTGTGAGCATGCTCAGCTGCAATGCCATACCCCAGCCCGCGCTTGCCAAGTTCTGCATTAAGCGCTTCGACGAAGGATACGACTTCTTCGTAAAAGGGTACGTTCTTCATGGTTAGGCCTGCTTCTCCGGCTGTTGAAGTTCCACAATAAGTCACTCCCTTGACCTCAACGAAGCAGGGCAGCCCCTTCTCGACTAGGTCTGCGTAGCCTTGCACTTCGTCTTCGATGTTGAAGCCCTTCACTAGGGTAAGTCTGAAGACCGTCCTGTGTTGGTTGCGCTTCTCGCGGAGGATGTCGAGACATTGTTGAAATCGCTCCCAGAAGTCACGGTGGAGCGGACGGTCGATTTTCTTCAGACTGTCTTTGTTGGAAGCGTCTATTGAGACATAAAGTTGGGTTACGTGGCCGAGCGCTGCGAGCTGGGCCGGGTGCTGGGCATTGCATACGAGGAAGGATGATATTTTACTGGAGTGGAGGAGGTGGAGGAATTCATTGATCTAAAGAAAACCCGTCAGTACGAAACTTCTGAAGAGAGTTATGGAAACCTGCATATGGGTAGAAGATAGGTTCGCCGACTAGGCTCAATGCACAGTGCCTGATTTTGAAGGCCTCGCTGAACCTATCTGCCCGAACCCCCGGAACTCCTTTCATCATTTTTATTTTGCGGTAATGGCCCTCAACGACACCTTTGAAAATCTCTTCTGGTGGATCTACTTTCCATCTCCAGGTAGTACCAACAGGATTTGTCCCGTGCCGCCAGCAGAACACACACTTGTTTGAACATGATAGGGATGGTGTAGTTTCCATGCAAAGATGCGACTTGATTCCATAGAAAGAAAATTTATAACAACTTCCTCGCCCCCTTAGGGCTGATTTAGTCCATCGACAGATCTTCACCCCCGAGTGGGAACCAACAATGGTGTAGCCTTGTTTGGTCAGTGCTTCATATGTAACACCCCCCTTTGGTACCATCTCTTTACGGTCCGCACTCTGTCCTTCTCCAGCCTCCAAAGCCTTCCTTCCTGCCGGCGTGGTAAAATCCACGGGTAGGACAGCCCTTTTCTTTGTCGCACCGTCATTCTTAGTAATAGCTGGGCTCTTTCGAATTACATTTCCGAGATCTTCAACATCGACCATATCATCTGCGGGATCGACAATCTCAAAATCAGAATCTTCGTCCCCAGACTCAATTGCGGTCCGCCAATCGGCGGAATCACCCAGAGTCCCAGTCACAGCATATTCTCGCATAGCATCTTCTAGATGGACTCTCCATTCGTCCAAGCTTTCCTCCGCGCTATCAAGTCCTGCAGCTGGGTTTACATCTCCCATGCCAACAGGGAACATTCTCCTTGTTCCTCCCTTTCCTCCTGTCAATTTCCCCATCCATTTATCCACCTCAACCGCGTCTTTGCAGAATTTGCCTTCCTCTGCTGGCCATTCTGACGAGTCGCCAAAGCCAAACACCGAGAACCCAGCAAGCGAACGAAGAGGGGCAGTGTCGATGCGGAAGTCGTGGTGGGTCTCCCGTAAGTGCTCCAGAAAGGGACGTATGGGAGAGTCTGTTTCATACGTAGGTAGCAACAGGAGGTAGACGTATTTCACTCTCTTTCCATTCCCGCCCGGTGGCGTGATGAAGAAGTCGTCCAGTTCCACCTCTTCGAGGTTGTATACAGTCGGTGGTAAGAAACTCCTTCGAATAGGGACCGAGCCAAGCGAATTGGACGGTGTGGGAATTGAAAGGGTTGGATAAATGCTCTCCCCCTTAACACTAAATAGTCGGGTTCTCAATGCCTCTGCACACCGCTGAGTGGACCCCGTAAGTGTGGAATAAAAAATCAGAGTCTGAATGTCGAACTCTCCCTCTTCGACCTCTGACGCTACCTTCCCTCCATTCTTTGGCTTGAAACCATCTTTCTTCCCAACCACCCGCCTTGGAGCATGGTGCCTTTTAACCGCCGGGTCAGACTCAGCCTTCACTGGAACCTCAAACCATGTCGTTGGTTTCAACGGCGTTAAGCCCTTGCTCTCACGTTGCTCAGAGTTCCGAACGTACGACCGAAGCTTTAGAACCAAGACTCCAGCCACTCCAAGGAACAGCAACGGATAGCGGAATGAATGCCACAGCCCCAGGATCTCTGTGATTTGTTAGCGGAGTGCACATGAACAGGAGGAAAGCGAACACTCGCGGGCTGTGTGAGTTTGGCTTTCGGCCATGCTGGTATTTAATCAGGAGGCTCAGTACCGGGAATGAGTGAACGAGTCTGTATATTTGGCGGGGAAAAGAGGCAAAAGTTCAGATGGGACACGTGCCTAAAGGGGAGGGGATTAGTCAGCGATGGTGGGGTGCAAGTACGTACTCGTACAGTGCCGGTATCATGCTTGAGTACTCGTACTTGCAGGTCTATGGAGAACCGTGTCGTAAGGGAATCCAGTAAGCAAACTTTGTCAACGGCAATACTTGTAGAGTAGTATACTGGTATCATATACCGAGTAGGATAGGGTAGTAGGCAGTTCGGACAAGCCAATATTCTTCACTCAGGTACTATCATGGCATCATAGAGTACTCGAGTACTCGAATAGCCCAGAACTCAATTCCAACTACCGGTACCAGGCCAACATATCCTCCAGCCTGAAGCCCGCATGAGCCTCAAAGATCATGAGACTAAACCCCAGCCCCACCTGTAGACTAGGCGCAGCGCGGGCCCGAGACAAGATAACAAGGATCACCATTGCTATCCCACTACGACCCTCACTGGTGTTTTATGGAATCCGGTACCATACCGGTAGTCCCAGCAGTCCGAGAGCGTGTTGGTTCAGAACCCGCCGGGGGACCTATCATATCAAAACGACAAGTAGATGACTAAAGCATGCACTGCGCCCGTTATCCAGGCACCATTCTCGATACCGGTAGCGTGGTTCGGCGCCTCGGAGGCGCACCGCCACAACCACAGGACAATACCTGTTCCCAGATGGCTGATGGTGTCCCTTGATAACACAATGTCATGAAATTCGCCGCACTGAAACTGGGGTTTAATGAAAGGACATGACGCATCTCCGACCCGTCCAAGCACGTGCCTCGAGGGCGATGCAAATCATAAACCCCGGTAATTGTGGTACAGTGCCTTCTTGTCATCTCGCTGCGCCATCTGTACTAGCCAAAAAAAAAAGTGTGGATTGTCCCTAAAGCCAACTAAACCTTTAGTGCATCGAAACACTCACAACACTACCGGCCG